GTGTTTTATCTGTAATGATCTCTACCCAGTTGTGGTCATCTCCCTGATGATTGTACTTCCTGTGTACTGTTGCAGCATTCATTGTAAAGACCTATAAAATCTGTGTTCCTATTGCCATGTTGCATCTGCAGTGCCCTAACAGTGGCATCAGAACAACATGGACCTAACAATGGTTTGGAAAAATTAGCCAACGTTCTTGTACCCAATAAGTCTGCTGAAAGAATTCCCCGCAAAGTCAAGTTACAATCAGTTTGTCTTGATCTGACCTGCATGAAGTAGCAGCCAGCGCCAACTCTTCTGTCCGTATGTACTGATGATACTGATGATGATGATGTTGGATGTGTTTTATTATTATGATTGTAACTGCAAGGACCTCTCAAAACTTTCCTACTACTATTTGTAATGGTCAAGTTTCTTTACAAGAGACATGCCCTTGCCCGTTAGTCGTAACTCGTCGTTTATCGTTATTGATCATTCTTTGGTTTGTTTTTCTTCTATGACTTATACTAAAAGATATTGCAGTGGTGAATTTTCCCCTTCTAATTTAACATTGTCTTTCCCGCAACCTCCCTCAGTTCATGTGGGAAGGTAGTAGTGTTTTATTTCTAGGTTATGTTTTGTTTCCTTTTGATTCGGTGTTTTCATTCTGCATGAATGCTCTCCACTCCGCTCCATGTCATGCTCTTTAACGTTTAACTTTTTCTGTTACTTTACGTTCAGTTTTTTGTTTACTTTCTTTGAATGTCGTATCTCTCTTTATCTCTCTTTATCTTGCAAGTGGGAAATACAAAACAAAAGGAAATATATTTTCACACAAAACTCTTACTGTGTAACAAATTAAAAGCTTAGGAACTTTTGAGATGGTCCTTGGATGCATATTGCTGTATTTTAGGTTAGGTTGAGCTTGAAAACTAAACAAAGATGAAAGGAATAGACACCACCACACGTACTAAGCACAACTGCAATCTGGTGATGGGTGATCACATTACAATTACAGTGTGTTTTTCTCTCTCTCCGATACTTATTTAATGACATTTATTTTTATGTTTCCACGCATCCAATTGATCGGGTGGATGTGCCAGGATTTTGAGGTACTGAGTGGTGTTGTGGCCACACTGTGTTGGTCTGCTTAGTCCCGTAGTCGTCCTCATCCACGTAGAATTTATTGCTGTGAAATTTAGAATTCTCACATGTGACAACCTGGTAGCATGACATGCACTCCCAGTCCACATTACAGTGCGGAAGTTTTGTTTCAGAACAGACCATCTCACAAGTTTCCTATGCCACACTAGTCTGTAGTTGCAAAATACTCATTCTGCTTGCTTCTTTGTTCTGTTAGCAGTATATGCACGTAGCTGTCGCATGTCTTGGTGGTCAGTAGTTGTGTTACTCTGAGTGTTTAGGGTTTGTATTGGTCCCAATGTGTAGATTAACTAATTCTTTGAGGTCCTCTGTCAGGCTCAGTCCAAAATTCACATTCCAGTCTAGTGTCAGAACGAGTTCTAAACAAAATTAATTGATTTTGTTAAATTGCTTATGCAAAAATAAATGGACCTTAGAACGGATCCTGTGTCAGACTGATATTTGCTCAATAATATTGTAGTCTAATATTAGAGTGAGTCATGAGAGTTTTAAAAATAACCCCAAATGATTTGGACCTCAAAGGGTTGAAACTCTACACTAAGATATCACATGCATTGAGTGAGGGGATAAAGCAAGTCTTAGATATGTAGCCTAAATGTTTCTATTGTGGCATGTTCTTGCGTTCGATGAGCCATTCACTCAATGCCATCCTTCTCTTTGGCACAAAACTCGTCATAACTATTCACACTCAAAGAGTTAATCAGTTTTCTCTCTGAGGAAAGAATAAAGATTGAGTTTCTACAAAATATTTGGACTGAGAGGAGTCGGTATAACAAATGAGTGGAGAAAATTCATAACAAAGATAACATCAGTTTTCAGGGTTTAGCAGCTAATCCCTGAAAGGTGACATATATGCATTGAACACTGACTGAAAATCTAAATAAATTCGTAGTTTGTAGTCTCCTGAAGTAATATTTATGGTAATTAAATGAAGCAGTTTGAACTGGAGATGTCGCATGTTGGGGGAAAACAAATATATAAACAAAGGTGCATTTTACATATGAAAGTAAAACTGTCTAGAGCTACCGTCAGTAACTCTTGTGGAGAGGTGCTCTTGCACATGTAAGTAGTTTTGAGAGCAGACTTGTAAGGCCATGGTAGCCCAATGGAGAGTTACTTTGGAGCACTTCCTGTCATTATATAAGAAGTTTAATGTATTCTCTCACAAGTCTCATATCTAGACATGGAAGGACGGCCATGGATTTTGCTTCGTGAAGGCGAGCCACGCCGAACAGGACTGATTTCTCTCCTCGGTTGCAAATAAACGTTTATCTCCTGTACATTACTCTCAGCACAGCTAAATTAGTAGATATAACTTGCATATCTAAACAAGTATTTGGTGATATGCAGTCTCTTGTGAGACAGGTAATCATCTTGGCACACTCACATACGTGCAGTTTGTCGCAAATTACTCTCATGTTTAAACGCTGTTGATTGAAACTCTAAGTAAGATTCATGTGTCTTTACTGTCGCCCGTATACTGATCTTCAAGACAACAGGAAAATGCAATTCGTGATTGCAATATGGATTTTAAGGAAATATATTTTCAGTCTAGTTGAACACTTTTGTGGTGTTAGTAGTGAATTTTTTGACTCTGTAACAACAAAGAATTTTCTGAATAGCTCTGTTAATGTCAGCTGCTGGAATGAGTTATTCGGTCAGTTGTTACGCCATGTAATGGATACATATGGCAGCTGTGACTGGAAACATTGCAAGAAGTCATTGTCCGTAGTGGGATCACGCTGTGTGGAATGTTGTCAAGTGATTCAATATGAGACTTTTCCGAACAGAATCTTTGTTTAGGGAGAATGCAAATGTTGCATGGGCCAGATCATGTGAGTGGATGTTCCAAAACTTTTATTATACATTTTTTGCAAGAAGTGTACGAAATGAACACATGTAGGGCTGGTCGGTCATCTACGCCTGTCCATCCACTGTCTGCATGATTCAACTTGAGAACCACTGGACAGATTTAGGTGGAATTTGATATGGAAGTTGTGCCAGATAAGCTACCTGAAACATTTCTAAACCAGAAGACAGATGCTTAGTTGACAGTTGTGTAGGAAGAGGTTTGTAGTGGAATAAACTCTGAATTTCAAAATGGCAGACCAGTACATTAATTACATTAGACTTCAACATTCATATTGTCAAAGACTGGATTTTTCCACTCGAGGCTGCGCTTTGTTTCTGTGTTATACTGCAAGACAGATCTCAACACCATTTTACTGTTCTTCCCCCACAGTTTTGCTAAAAGTTCTTATCAAATTTATGTTCTGTTCTCTGCTGCTGATATTTTGGCACAGACTTCTTAATTTTTCCCTGATACTATTTTCCTGAAATGAGCCGGGATAGCTCAGTCAATATAGTGACTATCTACGGGCTGGACGACCGGGGTTCGATCCCCGACGGGGGCAGAGGATTTTTCCTCTAGCCTCTGCGTCCAGACCGGCTCTGGGGCCCACCCAGCCTCCTCTACAATTGGTACCGGGGTCCTTTCCCGGGGGTAAAGCCGGCCGGGGCGTGATGCTGACCACTCACCCCCATCTAGTGCCGAGGTCAAGGAAGAGAGGAGCTGTACCTCCACTCACCCCAAACGCCTACATGGCGTATAGTGGGACAAACTTTACTTCACTATTTTCCTGAAAGTTAAGAATCATTTCTCATTTACTCAGTCACTTTCCGCATTAGGTCATTTCTTAAAGTTGTTGGATACATTTTCTGCATGATCATGCCTTTGTACATTGATAACTAAAAACTTTTTTAATTAACAGTGATATCTGTCTTGAAATTTCTTCATTGTCATTCTCATCATTCTTTGTAATGTTGCATCTTCCTGAACCAACTCTGAAAGCAACAGTGCCAGTTTTTTTTGTGGTACTCATACAGGATCCTGCTGTAGTATATCTACTTAGGCTCATCTTGAAGCTGTCATTTGCAGCTGGGAACAACAAGTCGTGTGATACCAGGATTGGAGTGTAGACTATAGGAGTAGGTAGTTGTACTGGAAACTTCCGCACGGTGTTGATTCCGGTGTTTGCTGTTTGTTAAGAATCCCCCTCACTCACTTACTCTGTGATGCAGGACATTCTTTGAAAAGTCTGTTGTATACTCGGCTTGTCAAAAAATAGCCCACTTTCTTTATGGAACCTGGAGGTTCATCATTGTGTTTACAACAGCCCTCCACCAGGCTATCCTGAGCCATCTGCATCCAGTTTACTCCATCAATTCCTCTCTCCCTGAGGTCCATCTTAATGTTATCCTCTCACCTACGCCTTTGTGTTCCAAGTGGTCTCCTCCCTTCAGGCCTCCCAACCAGTACCCTGTATACACCCCTCCCACCTCCATGCATGCCGCATGTCCCACCCACCACATCCTCCTCGATTTAATCACCCTAATAATATCAGGTGGGGAGTAGAAGCCACGAAGCTCGTCATTATGCAGTTTTCTCCATGATCTGTCTCCATCTCCCTTTCAGGTCTTAATATCTCCCTCAAAGACCCTCAATCTGACAGCCCCACCCTGTAAAAGGCAACTCGTTAATGAAATCAGGTGAAGCAACTGCCGGATGGACTCATTCATGGCGGACTGGCAAACAGATTGTCTGTGAATGGGGAAGAACGGAAAAAGTTTTTGAAGGAGGCCAGGGCCCACACAGGGCTATAGAGCCAAGGATGATGATGAAAAGAAATGTATTTGTTACCAGACCTTATCCATTTGATTTCCGTCTTCAGAACCACATGAAGAAGTTACATTTACCGTTTGTTACCAGACCTTAACCATTTGATTTCCGTCTTTAGAACCACATGAAGAAGTTACATTTACCACACTTTAGGCCATTATCTTACAGTTGGTCTGTGTGCCCATGTTAACATTGAACATTTTGATAATTTATGTGAGCGTTACCCTGTGGGAAATTATTGTACAACAAAACTGTTTGTCATGGCAATCCAACCCATTCTCCTTATACACCTTCAAAAGTTACAGACCGTAGCTCCATGCTGAAGCTTTTGTGCCAAATGTTTGGGTTGGTAGACAGTTTTAAGCATTCTGTGTAAAAAAAAAGGCACTTTTTCTCGAAATATTTCCGCGCAGTATCAATGTATAGAATGGCAGCTGTGAACTTCTCACTGCATGATGCTGATGTTTCATTCTGTGGTTGTACCCACTTGCTGCATGAATGTAACCTAAAATCTCTCCGAGTTGACAGGCATAAAATGTGTTCTCTGTTCTCACAGTTCTTTGTGCGTCTGGACCACATTCGGAAGTGCTTTACCCAAAAGGGCGGCATTTTTGTCTTGGAGGAATACAGTGAGTAAGAAACAATCTTATGAAGCCTTGAACGCTTGTTGGTGTTGTACTGGAGCTTCATGTTGTTGATGCAAATGGGAATCAGAGGAACGGGCATATTGAGAAGGCCTAGCCTGGGGCTGTATTAAGTTTAAATGTTGTGATGGGTGAATGTACCCATTTAAATATGCTGACGTATCTAGAGGAAGCTTACATTTTACTGCTTCAATCATTGGACCACAGTATAATTCTCTTAATCGTGCTCCTGCGTTTTACATACCAGCGGTTGATGGAGGCTGAGTACACTTTTAATGATCTTCTGTCTTCAGATGTAGATGGAAACTAAATTTGAAGATGGTTTTCTTCTGGGTTGTAGCGCTGCGTAGTCTGGTAGAAGTTTACCAACGTTTCATAGGTTCTTGCTGCCTCCATCATCAGAGGAATGACCCAGAAGACAGTCATCTTTGTACTCACCACTGTGAGAACCTCAAATCTTACTAAACGAAATTTGTAATTGCTTCAAAAGCTGTCATTACAGCTGTTGCAGGAACAGACTGTCAGATAGTCGTGTCTGTATAAGAACAGACTTCATGGCACAAATGTTTAAAAAGTGTCAAAACAGGGTAATTCTTCCCTTCATCTGTCAATTGAAATTTCAACATTTATGAGTTATAAGTATTCCCAGAAATTATAGAAAAATAGTCTTAACAACACCCATGTTTACAGACTAGTTAGCTCATAGAAGGGAGAAACATAGAATTTGTAGATGTAGTATAGTCTTTTTTTAAAAGAGACGTATATATCTCAGAGCATCTCAGAACGCATTCTATACAATTTTGCTCTTTGTTGTCCCACAGATCCAAAGACAAGGCAGATGATACAGCGCAAGTACAAGTCTTCCATGGTGAGTTTTACGTTGCATTTTTCTGGTATGATTTTCTTAACAGACATCCAGAAGTGTCGGGCCATTTTTATATTTTGTGCGTTAATGTAATAGTGATCATGTTGTATATACAAGGTCTGGCAGTTGCGTAACCAGACTGATTCTGTGAAAAATTATACTCGCCTCCAGTGTCTTTAGCATGCGTGGATACAATTTTATTCTGTACTGTCATTAGATTGATGTGAGTGCCCTGAAATGATTCAAAATTGGATGTTTGAAAGAGAATTTTAGTTTCAGAAGCTTGAAGAAGTCGTACAGTCTTGCAATTTTGTTGAAGGTGCCCATGTTAAACTTTGTTTTTTGGCAAAAGTTATTTTAACAATCTTGCTCTGTGGAAATGCGCACGATGTTTTGCATGCATTGGTCTTTAATTTTGATTCTGTTAATATTAACTTTCTTCAAAGTATTGAAGTATTCACTATTATATAACAAGTTCACAGTTCATATCACTTCATTACGCCGTTGTACATTTTAAAACTGGTTATTGGTGTCATCATTCATTTATTTACATATAATCATCATTTTCAGTGCAATTATCAGCACTGTTAGTATGCATTGTTCAGTAAGTCATGTGTTTTGAAGTTTAAGTATGAATCTGGTGATTATATATGATTAGATCACATAGTTCAGAATGACAATAACAGTATCTAGTTTTAAAAGGCACGGTGGTGTAATAGGGCAATATGAACCGTGAATTTGTTGTGTAATAGTGACGGTACTTTGAAGAGAGTTTATTTTGACATTCACATTTCATTCAGTCTCAAAGTTTCTGGAATTTTCTGTTGGAAACTTTTGCAGTTTTTTCTGGATTGCACAAAAAATCCAAGTTCCATCACTAATTACTTGTTTTTCCCAAAAGATCGGCATCATCCATCTGCCTTGCTGAAGGGTTAGAAATTTTACTTTGTTATAATTTTTACTTATATCTGAGATTTTATATTTATTTATTATAAATCTTTCTTTGTGTTCACATTGTCTGTAAAATATAACGTCAGAGTTTTTCCAATCAGTTCATTTCTTCTAAACAGTCGGTCAGTAATCATTTCAATCACTTGGATCAGCTCTTGACATAAAAGAAAGGAAAAGTTTCATTTCTTTTGTTGCTTGAAATATCTTCCCTTCTTTCTTCAATCCACTTAAAGTTATTACTGATCGTTGCCACTTGGTAAACTTTCAGTACATTTTGTAGGTGTTAGTGAATTCTTCTCTAAGTTTACCAAAGGTTTTGTGTTTATTCTCTGTTCCCATCTGGTGTGCCTTACACTCCAGAGGATTTTTCTGGGTGTAAATTTATGGATACAACATTGGTTCTGTTTCCAACCATTGCAGAGATGTTGCAGTTTTAACGTGCACACAGCGAAAAATAAATAAGAATATTTATCAGATGAATTATTGCTACATTTTATTAGATACATTTTGTAACTGTTCAAAATGACTGTCGCAGTTTTTAGTGTCCAGCCTCGCTCGCTCCAAACAAAGAATTTGCTGCCTGTTGAATCATCTTAGGGTGTCCTTGTATGTTAGTAGCAGCATCCATGATCTGGGGCTGGATTTCTTCTCTCACGTGTAATTTGATCCATTGCTTTCATTGAACCCCATAAAAAAATAAATCAAGGTTAGGTTCAGAGATTTCAGTGGCCAAGTTATTAAACTACAATGACCAATGTAGAAATTTTCATAATGGTGATTCAAGAATGTGAAGGTACCCCATCATCCTGAAATAAGATTCTGCGTCTTGTACCATGAAGTGTTGATTAGTTATACCGCAACGCAGTGTCACGTTTAACACTCGCCGTGGATCAGAACCAAGAGACAATGGACATAAAAATCCACCTAAGAATTAGAAGTGGTAACATCTTCAATTGAAACTGTCTCTAGGGTTGCCATCTATCAAAGTACACGCAAGTAAGCACTTTTTGTGTGCATGTCTTAAAAGATCCATAGTTAAGCAACAGCTGGGAATAGAGCGAATGTTGTGTTGACATTTTTTTACTCAAAATTGCCGCATGAATCACCCCTCTCCCATAACATCTACGTTAAATAAAAATCAACTCCGTTTTGTTTGTGTATGGCAGACGAGCTGTGAGTCCAGTCATTTCGGACCTTGTATCTCTCTTATAGCAACTGGAGAAGCTTTACATTCTTGTGTATGAACTCATCTTTGCTTTATAAAGTGGACAGTGTAATTTTTATCGTACTTTTCATGAACTCTTACTACTTAATACTTGAGTTATGTGTCATCTTCTGATTTTGACATGAACTGCAGGACCCAATACTAAATCCTTCGTCAAATAGAAAAATCTTTACTCAGAGTCTGAAAGCACTTTTTTCTTTTTGTCTTGAATTGGTTATTTCAATTTAGTGCATTTGTGTGTTCTTTGTAACACCCAATGTCTCGGCGTGTTTGCTTGATCCCAGTGAAGCCTCTTTGCATTAGCATTTGCTACATTCTCTGTATTTACCCAGAGTTAGTAGGAATGATGATGATGATGATGTTGATGATCCACAGCAGTCATCCATTTCATCTGTCTGTGGCCAGTTTTGCTGTGTCACTGTCAAAATGAATTATATCTTTCTAATCGAAGCAGGTCAGATTTTATGCCTTTATCATTTTCTGTTCAATATGAACTTTTACATTGCATTCTTGTCTTTTGACTAAGTATCCAGCACCTTCCAACATTTGAAATTGAAATCATTTCTTGAAGAATCCAGTTTTAATTTTTGGTCCTTTTTCTTGTTGCGCAAGTGCCCCCCTGCGCGTCCTCAGTTTTGTAATTAGAGCAGAGTTCATGTATGCAGTTTTTATCAAATTGTTTTTTGTAATGCCAGTAAAAGCTGTTAATTTGAGATGAGAATGATAGTGTGGTTATGAATTGTTTATTTGGAAATAATAACTGTGGCTAATTTTAAGAAATTGCTTGGAGAGAGAAAATAAGTACCTGATTGGATTGTCAGTCTGTGGCCAAGTGCCAACCTTTTGAATTTAACATTGGTTCAGATCTTTAGTTTTAAATAGATCTGTCTGGTACAACAGTTTCACACAGTGAAATTTGAAAGAGTTTCATGCAATCAATTTGCTATATAGTGGAGTAGTGGTATTCTCTGTTCATCTGCTTTCTTTATTCTAATATAAACTCTTACTGCATTTCTAAAAAAAATCATTATATATGTATTTACATTACAGTATTTTTGTCTTATTCAGGATATTTTTTGATTTCCACACATCTGTCAAATTTCAATAAAATTTATTATGTGGTTTCTGCATGCAGACATAGGCAGATGAACCACTTAAGCTTAGTGTTAATGTGTCTGGTTTGTAATTCAGAAATAATCTGCTTTTATGTTCCGCCTCAGTCCCTTCGAATTGAAGGTGGACAGGCTATGAATCATCTTATAGATCTGTTATCCCTCATTCTCTATCTCAGCCCCTCAGCAGTTTAATCATTGAGGTCCATTCACTTTAACATGACACATCCAGTTTATTTTGGCGGTATTCTGCCTGACATGATTTTATGAACATTTGACTAAGATACATCTTTTTAATGTATGGCAAACATAGGTCACATTTCACTTTAATTTTTAAACATTAATTTTTTTTTACACTTGGTCCAACATTCAAGCAGAACATTGTTTTCTGAATGACAGCAACTGACAGAGGACGTCTTTTGAGGTGTGGGTCATTGAAAGTATGAAAGTGCCAAGACCAGTTCACGTTGTTTGAATTTTGAAATATGTTGCACTGGAAAATTATTTTCAAATGTTGGACTGAGTGTGACAGGGAACCGGAAGTGGGCTGCCTTGATGATGTGTGTCTGTCTAGGCTGAAGGGCTGAATCTCAATCTCCATCGAGTCATTTCCGTTAGAGTCGCGCAGCAGATCGTTCTGTGGCAGCGGTCTCCTGCCTGAATGCATGCTGTTGTTTTGTTTTGGTTTGTAGTTTGTTTTTACTTTCCTTTATTTTGTGTTTGTTTGTACAGGGGTGTCCAGAACATGTATTTATCACAAGTACTGTCTGATTTGTGACACTTATGGCATTTCTTTTATTCATGAAACCTGAAGCTTTGTTACCACCACGACAAAATCACCAGACCCTATTATGAGCCTTTTCACTCAGGTTCATAATTCTGTGTCCCTACAATCCATTGCACTCCTATTTTACCGTCTGTTTCTAGTCTCCCAGGAGGTTTCATGTTGCAAGTGTGTGTGCATGTTTTGTTTTCCAATTACCGCTTTCTTCTGTTTTTTAGTAGACTTTATTATATGACTCTCTCCATGCTCCTGTTACTTTGTTCAGTTTCTCTCCTTGGTAGTTTGGTTTGAAAATCCTTTATCCTTGGAGCAAGAGACCAAGTTTCCCACCCGCTTCTCTAAACAGACCTTAAAGAGTACATACGTACACATTTTAGCGTACTTATTTATGTACTGTAGAAATACAATATTAATTTGCTGAGATGTGGTTTGAGTGTGCGCTGGGAGCATGTTGGACACCCCTGTGCTGCTTGAGGCGTGGCTGCGCTGCACAGCTGATTTCATGACTCGGCTCGTGCTTATGGTACAGTAGCGTGTTGTTTTTTTTGTTGTACAGTCTTGCCTCTCACACTGACATGTTCATTGGCTACAAAGTTTGGTCAGTCTTACAGGGCCCATGTCACATTCTTTTGTGAGAGGAAGGTTAGGTTATGTTAGGTTAGGTAAGGTTATGTTAGGTTAGGTTAGGTAAGGTTATGTTAGGTTAGGTTAGGTAAGGTTATGTTAGGTAAGGTTAGGTTAGGTTATGTTAGGTTAGGTAAGGTTAGGTTAGGTTAAGTTAGGTTAGGTAAGAGCAAATTAATACAAAAAATATATAGTGAATTCACAGAGTGAAGATTTTATGCTACTAATTAGAAAAATGTGATCTATAATTGTAAATAATGTACGAATAAGACAAAACAAATGAATTAATGATGTCACTGAATAAATTATGAACAGAAACTGATAGCATAGGAATGAAACAGTTGTGATTTTGTGTAAGTAATAATGGCAGCAAGACAGCTTCTAAAGCATGATTTTGTCGTTCTGCATGCAGTGAGCTGACGACTTTGAGGCTTGTGTAAGAAATGCGCACTAATGGGAAACCCTATAAAAAGGAAGGCTGTCTTCTAACATTTCAGAGGTGCCTGCTACCTCCATAATTAGGGCATCAGTAAACTTCTACCAGCGTACACAACACAACATTCCATAAGACAGTCGTCTTCCTACTCACTGCCATAAGAACCTGAAATCTCACCTGAGTTAGACAGGGAAACGCTGAAATGGATCTTAGCAAAAGATGTAAATTGTATTCAGCTGGATCAGTCTTTGGTCCAGTGGTGCGCTGTTGTGAATTTTGGTGATTTAGCCGTAGGGAATCTCTTGATTATCTGAATAACTCAGTTTGCAACACTAAGTTTTAATTAGTTTGTTAGTTGGCAAGTCAGTTATTTAGTTGGTTGGTTATTTTCAAACTATTGAACCAATTTAGTAAAGAATACCCGTGTATTGCGTAGTGACTATTGTTTGTTAATATTACGTTTCAGTCGGACCAGATCTGCTACTCTGTGCTGTGCGTCTTCTCGTACATTGCCGCGGGCCAGGAACAGCGCCGCCTGCAGCAGCATGTCGCAGCCGAGCTCCCTTCTACACGGCGTCACTGACCCACATAATGGGCTCTGCATTTCACTGTAGTGAGCAGTTTGTTGTCTGCTGTGGGTGTAGCTCTGCTCATTTCACGCCTTTCCGTTCACCTTCCTCCATCTGAATCCTTGCACACAAATTCTGAGATGTGTTATGACGAGTTTCGTAATTGGACACGCCCCTTCCACGATTGACAGTGAGGACTATTGTTTATTCTGTATGGATTTAGTCAACTGTTCTGCTTAACTATCTGCGTTATATCATTTCTATGGTAATATAATTATGAATTGTAAATTGGGAAGGATGCACAAGAAAATGATTGTGATCTTCTTTGAAGGGATAACCCAACATTTGCCTGGAAGGACTGAGGGAAAACTCAGTAGACTTAAGTCAGAATGACAAAGATACAAACTCCATGTTGATTTCCTACCAGTTACTGGAGGTCATGAATATAACCTGAAGTTTGCAGGGGAGCATACGATTATCCTTCCTAATGAAGCTGGAACTCTCAGTGCTAATGTTACTTATAAAATCTGCCTCTAAATGACTCCAACTCATTAACACAACTTTGTGTTGGTCATTGAGAGTGTCTTTTAGGATCGTGTATATTAATTTTGATTAAAAGATTACTTTTAATTGGAATTATTATTATTATTAAGTGTTCTGTCTTGGAATATCTTGATTAAATTAAGTTTTTTAAACACAATGATGTGTCTTATGATAACATTAAGAACTGCTGGACATCAATGATACTGAATATTCAGATTTCGCTAAACTAGAATTTGATTGGTATATAATTCCATGTTAAAAAAGCTGTAAACATGATACATCCATTGGTTGGTTCATCACGTCTCTCAGCTACCTCTTCAGATGATATATAAGGGTTTGTATATTCCTCCAGTTTTGTTCACTTGGCTGGATTGAAGAGGGTGGTTCTTTATTATGGGGACGTGTTTGAGTCAGTTGACATCCCTGCTCTTCATAACCAAGTAATGCTGCCATGTAGGCGCTTGGTGGGAGAGAAGGTATAGTTCCTGCTTGTTCTTAACCTTGACACTAGATAGGGGTGACTGGTCAGTGTCTTTCCCCAGAGAAACAACCCTCGTAGCCATCGGACAGGGGGCTGGGTGGGCCTCAGAGCCAGAGGAAAAATCGCCGGTCGTCCAGTCCGTAGTAAGTCACTATACTGACTGAGCTACCCTGGCTCCTTCCTGGTCTTCGTACAAGTTGAAAAATTCCGTATTTATTGGGTTGGATTATGTGCAGGAGAATTTAGTCAGGATTGCCTGTCGCATAATTGTTAAGTGGTGGACCTTCCTTTCCATCCTATTTGTAAGTAATGAGATCTTCAGAAACATCCCTCTTCCATGCATGAAGTAAATAAAGGAGACTTCATCAGTCACACATTCTGTTCAAATGTCACGTACATGACAGAAATGTGCAGTGGGTCCTCGATATCCATCAACTTCAAAATTCGTCGTCTCTTTTATCTGACGTCGCCTATTTAACACCATTATTTCCACTCCATCATCATGTTGCCATCTGCCTCATGCTTCATGTATGTCACTTCCTATCAGTCAGCAGCTTAACATTCTGACAAAGGAAGTCCAACATTCATAAAATTACATTCCAGTCCAAACCCAGAAATTGTAAAATTGAAATAAAATAAATAAGACCTCTTGATGCCTACTTATATAAAAAGCCCTAGCAGAAATTGTAAGTTAATAATAGTTATTAATTAATTAATTGAAGGAATTAATTCTTTCAGTCCACAGTTTCCACTAGCTTAGATTCACTTGGAGATCTAAGTAGAACTCAAATGGATCTTAAAGAACTAGGGTTTGGACTGAGGTCAATTGTGATGATTCTGTAGGTTTCATAAAGGATGTAATTTTTTGTCCAGCTGAGTGGCTGCTTGCTTCATGGAGTTAAGATTCCTGCTAATGAAAGTTTGCTAACGTAGCCTAGACATTTCAAGTCTTATTAATTTTTAGCATACAAATCCATTTCATACAACATATCAAGTTTCGGACGTCTACCTGCAGCGAGATACGGTTTTTGCTTCAAACTGAAAGCTGAACTGTTTTACACAAAGTGGCATTAGTGTTGCTCCCACCTTAGAACTTCGCGTTACTAACAACGAGAAATAAAAATACCACAAAGTTGGGATGACCTCAGATGGCATGTTTATAGCAGGTTTCATGAAAACTACAAAATTGTTGAAAATACATTTTTGGGAGATTTGTTTATGTCCTTAAAAGAACACAATGGTTATTTTAATGGACCATTTGAATTAAAGTAAAATCTTCATCACAGACTTTTAGTATATATTTGCTGTTATTTCATCCTTTGAAGATATTTTTGCTTTAAATATGTGAATGTATTCTCATCACAAGGAATTTATTTTTTTTGTTGCACTGTATTATCTGCAGGAATATTAAGTGTGTTGAGTGTGCATGTGTATTTTTCTAACTTTGGCACCATTTTGGGATGGACCACCCACTAATTTCCTCTGCGTTATTAAATAAACGTACTACATGGGCCATCAGGACTTGCTGCGACCTTTGAGGTAAGAAGGAAACACTTGAATCAGACAATTGAAAATGTTTGTGGAATCGTTACCAATTCTGAATGGACGTGATGTGTGATGGACCATTCTTTTTATACTGAAATTGAAATCATCCTTGTAGATGGCTAGAATAAGAAACACGTGCGTTGCCAGTATTCGTAAAGCTTTGAAATGATTAGCTCTAGACAATGTTGTACGGCCATCCCAGTTGTTAAAATGTCTGCAGTGCAGATTTTTTTGTTTGTTTTAGGAATTTGCACAGAAAAAGATTACAAATGCTTTGTTCATTGAAATGAAAGTGGCTTAGGAGCGATGTCACATTTCATCAGCGGTCGTGGGCTTTGCTACTAAGCACTGTTTCAGGATCACAGGATTTCAGCTGTGCCCCTCTGACTGTTGCATTAAGAACAGAGGATGGATTTCAGAACTGGAAGTACATGTCTCAGGATTTAATTGATGCCAAAATCTTATGAAGGTGCAGTTCAGCTCCAAAATTAATTCTTTGAGTACATGCTAGAAATTTCAAAATTAATTTTGTATTCTTCATCTTTGTTTGATGGTAATTAAGTATAGTTCCATTAATTACAAACAGATTTTTACATTTTAAGTATTTCTTCTCATAACAAAACATAAACAAATGTTTTGATATTCTTTATTTCCTCATTTCTTTCTTATTTTTGTGTTTCCTTCAGAACTTTTTCAGTAATACTTACGTAATTGCAACTGTTATTTTATTTACAAGATAAAAACTGTCTTACGATATTGCGCGTATTTTTGTATGGCGGAAACTGTCTTCTCCAGTTCCTGTTCTTGAAAGTGTATTATAATTATTATTATTTATTACTTAATTTCTGTACGAATAGACACTCGGCCTTCACGGGATATGGGCTGAAGGTTGCTCCCAAGTCCTCTTGAGATTATTCAATGGAACAAAATATATTTAAAATTAGAAGTATGGGCGGAAAGGCTAAAACAGCGGTATCATCAGTACATTTCTCTGGAAATGTGTGAAATCTGTACTCTTAAAATATCCAAGCAATAGGATGATTGTGAATGACGATGTGTATATATATATATATATAGGCATTTGTAGATGGTTCATTACATTACTGTTACTTGGTTTGTGATCTGTATTTATGTGAATACATACATTTAGTTTCTTACACAGTGTTTGTACATACTCGTGTTGAAATGTCTGACATTATAATTACTCTCTGAAGAATATGGCGATGCCTCCAGGTGAAGGTGGTGTCGTTTGCTAGAGAAACATTGTGAACAGCAAAAGTAATAACTTTAATATGTACCCATTATTTAATTTAGTGTTAAAAGTCAGAATGTTGTAATACGCTCAACTGTTAGAATTGTGCGAATAGTGAGTCTTGTGGTCTCTGCTTTCCGGTGGACACGGATATAATAAAGCTGTGGGCCCATTTACAACTGGGACCCAATGAACTTGTAACTCTTCTGTGGCCACGAAGCTGCCATAAATCTTTGAAGAGTAGTTGGAGTCACAATATAAAATGTGTGTTCTGGTACTTGCCTGCAATTTTATCCCAGGCTATAAAATAAGCTCTTGTCTTACATGGAAATTGTTACTAATTAGAAACAAGAATTTCTGCAACCCACGTATTATGAAAAATATTAAGATATATCAGTTTATGAAATTGCCGTGTCCTGGTGGATGCCGTAGGAGTCGTCATATGATCAGTTGCTCTCAAAATTTAAGGCCTGGCTGATATTTTAGTTTGGTATTTAGTTAAACGTTTATGGCAATCTAACCTCTGTCCCTTTCTATCCACTGAGTTTGTATTTCACATCATGCTCAACTACTACAGACTTAAATTTCTAAGTAGTATTTGCGGTTTCCATGGCACTGAGTCCAAAGATGGCTGTCTTCTGGGTTATAGCGCGGTGTAGTCTGGTAGAATATTACTGACGTTTCAGAAATCCTTGTGATAAGTTATCACCATGATGATGGAGGAAGGAAGGACAGATGATTGGATTGTGCAGTAACGTGTGATTTTCTTATGTGAGAGGACGAGCCCACCAGCTGGTGTATTGCTCTGTGAATATGCAGTAAATGAAGAAATTAACTGCTCTCACTTGCAGTGTTTATGTTTGCTATTTTAAGATTTACATAAAAAAAAAATTTGAGCAGTTTGTGTTCTCTTTAACTTAATTTGAAAGCGTCCTTAAACAACTTTTCTGAATTCAGACTTCAAATTACTTATTTATTATCATCCAAACTGTAAACAGACATTGTCTCTGAGACATTGCTGGTGACTTTGTCTGAACATCTATGCCATAGATCTGAGATTCTGTCCTGAAGATGAGAGTACCAGGTCCTTTGAAATGCCACTTTTATCACATCAATCAGAATTGCCATAAAGACCTCAGAACTCGCAAAGATAAAGGCAATAAAAATTTCAGAATTTATTGTTATATATTTGTAAAATAAATATTGGCTTGAAGATGGCGGAAGACAGCCATCTTCGTACTTGCCTCCTGTGAGATCCTGAAATCCTACTAAGGAATGGTTTGCTGAACTCTGTTAGAGATTTGTGCTTCATGTTATAAAAGACTCTGGAGAAAACAGTGTATTAGCAGTCAAAGTTTGGAACTTTTTAATAATGTGTTGTTGTTGTTGTTGTACATGCTCTCACACCAGTTGCAAATTTTCTTTCAAGAATGAAACACCAGTACATGAAGAATGTTATTTTATTTCAGATACTTATGTGAACATATCATTAATAAAATTTGCGTCAAACAGCATCTTATTTGATAACACCCGCCACAGTTGTAATGTGCCCAGTTCTCTAATAAAATTCTTAGTGTACAAATTGTACAAAGTTTATATGTCCAGTACAAGCGGTGTATTAAAATGTTGTTGATCCAAAGAATTATTAAATTTGTTATGTTTATTTTCAGCTGTACACACATTTTAAAAGTTAACATCTCTATTCGTAGTGTGCAGTTTCAATTACGTGTTCCAGTGACAGTCTCGCAGACTCTGATGGTGTCGCAGGTTAGCAGCTCATCCAGGCATGCGTATTTATACACATTTCTGTAGTAACCTGTCATCGTATTCATAGTCGGCTGTGACTTGCATTGAAATAAGCGAATGCTCGTCACCGTTGGCTGCAGGCACAGGGGTAGGTTGTTCAAAGACCAATCAATGCTAGAACTGGAAGCGCTTGGTTTTTTCTGCGTTTACTTCTAGACAGATTTTCTTACTAGTTCCTATGGTATTTATGATTCCACCCAGTAAATCGACATCATTGATCTATGGAATTTAAATTAACCAAAATGGCAGTATTGTTTAAATAATACATTACACTTGCACATAATTTTCTTAAATATTAAACAAAAACTGTTAAAATTTAAACTGGCTTTTAGTTATACATTTTAAATCACTACCATGGGTTTATTTGTGGATAGCAATTATGATACAGGCTTAAGCTAAGTAACATAACCTGCATTTCATTATCACTGTACACTGATAAATGGTATGAATGGTCATGCTTCTTTTAAAATACTTAGGAATTAATTAAATGTGCAATGGCCCCTTCGCATAGCTTACAAGACAGTTTTCAGTGTCCCCCTCCAGATGGCATAAAAATTATTACAGAAGGATCCAGTAATGTTCTTCCATCTTGCAATTAACAAAGCAGCTACAATCACTCCAGTGTTCTAAAGAGAGATCGGCAAGTCCCACTTTCCCTCCTGTGTTTTCAAAACTGCAGTTACTTTCTGCTTCAGCCATCATTGTCGTGCAGATCAGTCAACTTATTCTTGTGATCTGTGACAGTGGAGGAAACTACTGCAACATCTGCTCGAGTCTTGTTTTATTTTGAGGTTACTGTCAACCTAACCTCAACATGTTATGGGAATGGTTTATACCTCAACATGAACATTTGGAGCTGAAATGGTCAAGTTTGATTTCAATAAAGTCAGCCTGTGCCCCATTTTGCAACGAGGGTGTGTGTTTTGAGGCTAAGACACTGACCGCAGTTGGTTTAATCCAGGGGTGAGCAATCTGCATGTCACATGTGACTCAAACTTTTTAAAAGGTCCATCACATGATTTAGGAATTGGCCAGTGGGACAGGCAAGAATTTTAAGATACTGAAGAACATTGATATGAATGTATACATTACCTAGGCATAAGGGTACAGAATAGAAAAATAATACTTTAATGAAACAAAAATTTTGGAACTGTATACCTGCAGTCTTAACATTACATTTTCCGTTATTAGAATCATATTAAATTTAACAAAATGTTAACACTGTTGTGGTATTAATAACTGGAGTTTTATAAAATATTAATTTATAAAACTTAAATTATATCAAACCAGAATTGATTGCTAACAAACGAAATTTCAGTAAACTCGATTGTAAGGAGAAATACAGCTATTATCTGTACTCTTTAGTGTCTACAATAACATGTTTTATTCTGCAGATCTAAACAAATACATAAATAGCCAACTCTTGGTTTAATCTATGTCTTCTTTCTCCTGCTTTTCTAACCTCAAACTTAGACAAGTCTTCAGTTCGTACTGAATTAAGGGCGTAATGGAGGAACTGGTGTCTTTTCTTCGTTCCAGGAAAGGCCGTAGTATGAAGTGTGAGAGAGAATAGGATTTGAGGTTTTCACGGTGGTGAGTCATCCTCATCGCCCTGATGATGGAGGCAGCAAGGACCTCCGAAATGTCAGTAAACTTCTACCAGACTACACGGTGCAACAACCATCTTTAAGAGAGAGAGACTTAGATTGTCGTTATAAAGATATAAGTCGTGGAATTTCAACGCAGTCGAATAATATTGATATTATAGTCGGTGTTTGTTCAAATATTTAAAAGAGGGTAGCTAACGAGAAAAATCACAGTATCTTACAATCGAAAAGGGTACCAAAAAAGTGATTTCAGTATGAATTCTTCGAAAAGAAGCCTCGATGTAGACGAAGTGAGGTTATGAAGAGCCGTGTACCGAGGGGCGGTGAGTCTTTCAGATGTTAAATGTGAAGTAGGAGCTTCACGCTGGCTGGAATTCCACAGAGCACGGGGACCTCGAAAGACAGAAGACGTCACACACAAGGGATAAAACTTTCAAGGGTAAGGAACGTTTTTGCAGGAACACCACAGTAATTCAATGTCAATGTGATTTCAAGTTGGTGGAGTGAACGAAACCAAAATTTCTGTGTAACTCAAAATTCAATCGCGTGTGTCTCGGTGTGATTTTGGTGTAAACCATAATTCAGTGATTTCCAACTGACTGACGCAAATGGCGGCCACTTTTGCACCTGGCACGACGTCCGACACATCTTAGGGGAGCGGGGAGATGCTCGTCAGAATCGTTCGTCGTAATAAAAACAGATTTCATTGGTACTTTCTGTTCTCGTCTTACGGTAAATAAATGTTTTGTGCTAACGAAAAGGAACCTGTTAATGCCAACCGAGATTTAGCTTGAGACCAAGCTATTTCGGATATTTTAATTCCAGTCGTAAATTAATAATCCCAGGTTTTGTGTCCGTACATGAAGATTACTTAAGATGTCGCCTTTAAATCATTTTAGGAACGTCGGTTGGATGATGTTCATAATGCGGGAATGTCATGGAGATTCCACGGGGTGAGGTTGTGAGTGGCTCGTAAACCAGGACTCAGGTGGCACAAATTTGGTATTTACATGCATTCTTATGAGTAACAAGGCGAGGTCACATTAAAAATTACGACGCTTGGAGTGGTTATACACGTAAGAGTAATTCATGGAGTTGGAAGTTTTGTATACCCAGAGCAGTTGTGGAATCCAAGGAAGACGCTGAAGAGATGGTAGGTCGAACAGCGTCTTTGCTTCAGAATGGGGAATCAAGTATCCAAACCTAGGGTGGAGGAGGCAGGATGACCTCTGAAACGTCGGTAAACTTCTACCACACTACACGGCGCAACAACTCAGAAGACAGAAATCTTCATCGCCCTGATGATGGAGGCAGTATGACCTCTGAAACGTCGGTAAACATCGACCAGACTACACGGCGCAACAACCCAGAAGACAGAAATCTTCATACTCTGAGGATGGAGGCAGTATGACCTCTGAAACGTCGGTAAACATCGACCAGACTACACGGCGCAACAACCCAGAAGACAGAAATCTTCATACTCTGAGGATGGAGGCAGTATGACCTCTGAAACGTCGGTAAACATCGACCAGACTACACGGCGCAACAACCCAGAAGACAGAAATCTTCATACTCTGAGGATGGAGGCAGTATGACCTCTGAAACGTCGGTAAACATCGACCAGACTACACGGCGCAACAACCCAGAAGACAGAAATCTTCATACTCTGAGGATGGAGGCAGTATGACCTCTGAAACGTCGGTAAACATCGACCAGACTACACGGCGCAACAACCCAGAAGACAGAAATCTTCATACTCTGAGGATGGAGGCAGTATGACCTCTGAAACGTCGGTAAACATCGACCAGCCTACACAGCGCAACAACCCAGAAGACGGAAGTCCTCAGACTCGCCGCTGTGAAAACCTCAAATCCTTCGTCTTAATTTTGAGGTTCAGTTTCATTCCGTGCACTGAAACAGACCAGAATAGATCAGATGTCGGCGTTGAATCACATGCGGTTTAAATTCGCAACCTTTGTTTTGCGCGTGAACTGTTGGCTTTTCAGGACGGACTCTGCTCCCTGGACGTTTATTTTGTAACCCCGTGGACTTTGAAGCTGATGAGAGTGACCGCTTGTTGGGAGGGAATTAGCCCTCGTAAGTTATTCTAAAAACATTGTATTTATACAATCATTCAGCAGTCAGCTTTGTTCTTGACATAAACCACGGCCCCTTCGTGACTAAATCTTCCCTTCTGTTTAGATTTTGGTGCTAGGAATTTAAACTGTGGAACCTGAGGCTCAACGTGTGACCTCCCCTTCGGAACACACCCACGTCTGCGTTCTGTCGGTGCGTGCGTGCCCACGGCTTTTTGGTCTATTTTTTGCGTGGGAGCAGGGTTTTCGGAGAGCACTTCCACACTCCGAAGTAACTGGAAAGTTGTCGGACGAATTGAATTCTGTCCGTCTCGATCCAATAGCCATCTTTGCGTGAAATTCATTCTCTGAAGAACAGCCTCCGTGGCCTCTGCAAATTTTATTTGGAAGCATTACTTTTTTATGCTGGAAATATTAAATGCAGTGCTCTGACAGTTTTAAGTTTAAATGTTTTTGAGTTGACTTCGTTTGCGGATAGGAATTACAATAAGACAAAATAACTTTTGGCACGTTCTCGTAAAAACTTTACGTGTAACTTTAATATTATCGTACGTTTATTAAAATGTGTTCTTATCTATTTTATCTGATTACTAGATTAACAGTTGCCATTGTTTGCTAGTATCTGTTCTTGTTTTTAATTATTATTGAATTGAATGCATAACAGGAAACCAACCAGGAGCGTGCTATGAAACAACTGAATCCCACAACGCGTTTTTCTACCAGTAGTAGATACAGAACCTAACCTAACCTAACATAACATAACCTAACCTCAACTAACCTAACATAACCTAACCTCAACTAACCTAACCTAACCTAACATAACATAACCTAATCTCAACTAACCTAACCTAACCTAACCAAGAGATGTCGCTGTTACTTGAACTGGCTTAGCAACGTAATGTAGATGACCCCCACCTCGAAGCGACTTGCCGCCCCGCAGAAAGGGGGGCTTTCAGCCCCTGATGCTCTCAGTACGTTTGTCACGTACTAAAGGTGTGTAATTTTCTTCAATTATTTGTGGTTTTCCTCAGTCATGTCCAAGGTCTCTCGGGCCCTTGAATCAGGGACCTCGGACCATGTTCATCCTTTCTTATCGACTTGTGTCCCTCTGGCTATAAAAAATACAGAATGTTCAAACTTGACAGTAATTTACTAAACGCGCTACTAAATTATTGTCGCAAACAGATTCAAATAATCAACTTCCTCAGTTTTGTTGATTATTCACTGAAAGTTAAAAATTTAATTTTTATTTCAACTTTTTTTGTTATACAGGGTGATCCGGTGGTGGTCGTGGGTTGAGAACCCGTTCCCTCGCACGATAGATAAGGTTTCACAGTCAGCTTCTCAATAATCCCCGAGGATTATTCGAGCAACTTCTATACGGACTTAAGTAATGCGCGCACACTGTGGGTCGCAGGTCTCGGAGGGGGCGCGATTTACCTCTCACGGGAGGTTGTGTTTCGAGATGCCGAAACGTCTCTCATTACGAACTTGCAGTCGCCCGTTTGTCAGTGACGTAACTACTTTTGTATTGACAGGTTAATTTTGTAGTAGCCGAACCCAAACGTTCATTTCCGTCACTGGGCACTCAGTCAGACCTACTTTATGAACCCTCGTCCATCCAATTACATCGCTGTCCTCCGATCCCCTCCCTGTAAGGCGCACGGCCGCCATATTGAGCTGGCCAAGTAATGGCAGTGACGAACGCATTTGAAGTCTCGGTGCCACAGTTTCAAACGCCATCTGCGTTCGAGACTGTAAGCGAGGTTACACTGGGTCAGCAGCTGGACAACGCCTTTTGATAATAAGGACAGAACCTTCAGTGGATTTCGGATAGGACAAGGAAACGCGAACGATCGAGAACGCCGCGTTATCATCGTCGTGGTAGTCAGATGACGGAGCGTGGCGTGGTATGCTAGTTGATGCGGCTGCCAGCAGGGTGTGCTGACGTCCTGGCTGCCCAAATTCTCAACCCTCGCGCGGCTGGCGATCGTCAGTTGTCGCGCCGAAGTGCACCATGGTGGCAGCAGCTGCGCGGCCGCACAGCTAGTCAAGCTAGCCAGTCGGTGTCTCAGGTCAGTTGCATTCCCCTGATTTGGTGGGGGACTTGCGAGATAATCTAGAAAATACACGCAGAATGTTTTATGGAAACCCTCAATTGGAACTTGGTGTAGACGGAAGTACTTCTTGTTCTTGTAATTTAAGTTTTTCTGCAATTGTGTTATATTTTCTGATGCAACCTGAACTACGAAAGAGTGGCTTAGCTTTTGTTGTTTGAAGATTACAGGTTTTACTGTAATGCAATGGAACAATGTGACATGTGATCCACGAAGGTTCGTTTCATTTAATGGCTGTGACAGAAACTGAGTCGTATTTTTGCAGGAGTTGTCATGCCCCCCACATTTTAAAGTGTATTGTGCGATAGGCGACTTTAGTTTGAGGTTAGGTTGAACGAGTGCGTGTTCATCAAATGTTTATAAAGCTGTGCAAGTTCTAGAATGAACCAAGTTAGTACCCAGGGAATAAAACATCTAATTAAAAGGTTATGTAAGGAGGTAACGACTGATCGAGGCATGCTACAAGTTAATTGGGCGTTGAACGTTGTGGTAATGAAGGTAGCGTATTGACCGACCATCTAACTGTTGCACACGCCTGAGATTGTTGCTATCTTACCTTCATTTTTGCCAAGACATTATCAAAAAATATACGTTCTCTGCCCGTGCACTTACCCGGAAGTACCCGTCGGCTTACGAACTCATGGCAGTACAGTGCCTGAAAAGTAGGCCCCGACCACTTCTTAATGCTCGTGCTGTAAGTCCAACCAGCACAAACTTAGACGTGACTCGTGAGTCGCAGAGACAACTTTGGAACAGGACGAGGGCCCGGAGACAGAATTCGACTCCCGGCAGGGGGACATTTGCTTTTATCATCACTGACGCGTGCTCGGCGAGGCCATCTGACATCTGTTGTTTGGTTACCCCTTCGTCCTCTTTTCGCAGGACACGTGGTGATGGGCGATGGAGGACAGCTCGCCCGACCTGAGCCTGAAGCTGCGACGCCGATCGAGCGACTCCCGCGACTCCTTCTACATGGACTTCGCGCAGGGCATCGACTCTGATATCGAAGAAGTAATCTCGGGGGCTGCTGCGCCGCCCCTTGGGGACGGCGATGACGTCACGCTGCCGCCCCCGCCCGACGTCATCGGTCCCGATGATCTGCTGCCTGTCGACGAGGAAACTCAGAGGTACTCTTGGGTTCTTGAGGTGGGTGGATACAGCCGTCTCCTTCTTCAGGGCTGAAGATGGAGACGTCTTATTTACAGTGGCTAAAGGATAACCGAATGAGTTGGTTTTCTGGGCTAATCCTTCGTCGTTGTCTGTTCTGGTGCCTGATTGGTACGACGTGGAGGCTGAGTACGAAGAAATTGGCGAAAGGACCCGATAACTCGCCCAAGAGAACGTGTCCTCGTCTGTCGGGGTTGGGACCGCGAAGCGTTTTGATGTGTGAAATGGATGAACACATTTTCCGCGGACTCGTAGCCTAGGTGTCTCAGTTGACAATGCAGCTACTGATGTTGCCGAGCGTTAGATTTTCCAGGGTTGTTTAAGGATCCCTCACCTGTCATTCCGCTTCTGAATCGATCCAGAGGGATGTTTCGTGTCTGCGTGAATGCGTCTCTCTTTCTCATAATTTTTAATGTTTTGGAAGAGCCCAGACGCCTCTCTGCGCTAATTGCACGGAGGATGCAAGGTCCGATGTGCTTCCGCGTTGCTGGTCGTAATCATCGACGCTTCGTACCGCTGAACCGGAAGTCTAGTGCGTAGGGGTTAAAGGTCGCTGGCAACCCCCCTCGCCGCGCGACGTTGCCACGTGTCTCTGGATCGAATGTGCCGAGCTCCGCAAGGCGTGAAGTTCGTGTGTTCCAAGCGTCGCCACATTGATTGACGCCTACGGGCGCCGAGGCAGAGGGAAACGAGAGAGACTGCGTGGTTTTCCCAAGTTCCTACACCATAAATGTACCGGAAGTTGTTACGATCATTCATTTCTCTGTCAATTTTGCTTTTGAATCGGCTTAGCTTAGTCACTGTAGTGACTGGCTACGGACTCGGATGCTCGGAGTTCGACCCCCACGACGGGGCCAGAGGATTTTTCTTCCTAGCCCCTAAGCTCTGGGGTCCACCCAGCCTCCTGTCCTCCTCGGCGTCCTTTCTCCGGGGCGTGACGCTGACCACTCACCCCATCTAGTGCCGAGGTTAAGAACGAGTAGGAGCTATACGTCCTCTCCCCCCAAGCGCCTACATGGCGTGTAGCGTGACAGCTTTCTTTTTTCTACAATATTATTCCTGAAGAAATGAAGCTTCTGCCATCAGCTGAGAATTTTTGGGAGAACGCAACTTTGTTTATTTTGGACGGCCGTCTTCTGGGTTGTAACGCCCTGATGATGGAGGCAGCAAGGACCTCTGAAACGTCGGTAAACTTACTATATTTACCTCTTCCGCCCCAAGGGAAGCTTTTTGGTGCAAAGTGAGTGAGGAGCTTCGACCTCCGAGAGTTTCATTGGGACCATCGAGTCAATGGCGATGCTTGGTTCTGCTGGAAAGCTGCAGGGGAAAAAGCAATACGGAAGACCAAGGCGTAGATGACATGATAATATTAAAAGGGGTCTTAAGGAACTGGATTATTTTTGCTGATAGATGGTAGAGTTTTGTGGCGGTCTCTGGTGAACGCGGTGATGAACTTCCTATCTCCGCAAAAGGCGGGCAATTTTCGCTGGTCCCCACGAGGGGAAGATGCGACAGTGGTCTTACGTAACAGCTGTTGATCAGATGTTCTTGTATTTGTCAGCTGTTCGTAGGCCTCGCTTAGAAGGCAAGTTCTGAACAATATTCTCTTTGAACTGGTCAGGCTTATTTAAAATGTGTTTAAACGGAACCCGTAGTAAACATTTCTCTCACACTTTTTCTATTCAGAGTGGTCCAAAGTAGGAGCTGCTTTATCGCCGTTGCTTTTGAACTCTCCTTTAGGGACGTCCAAGAAACTGAATGACACACCTCAGCTTCTGGTCTGTGCTGATGATGGAAATCTATGGGGGGAGACCATAAACACCATAAAAGAGAGAAGCTCTAATTGACGCTAGTAAGGAGCTTGGTCTAGAAGTAAGCAAGTTGTGTTGATATCTCGCAACAAGAACGCAGGGCAAAATTGTAACATAAAAATGGCTGATGGATTTTTTGAAAAATGTGGCAGAGTTCGGACATTTGAAATTAAGAACAGATTAAATTTGGGTAATTCTTGCTACAATTCAGTTCAGAAACTTTAGAGTTTTCGTCTGCTGTCAAAAAAACACGTAAACATTATAATAAACAAAAAAAATATATTTTTTTGTAGTTTTGTATGGGTGTGAAACCTGGTCTCTGACACTAAGGGAGGAACGTAGATTGAGGGTGTTTGAGGAGAAAATCTGGACCCAAGAGGGATGAAACACTAGGAGGCTGGAGAACGTTGCATAATGAGAAGCTTCGTAATATTAAGGTGATAAAATCAAAGAAAGATTAGAGGGGCGAGGCTTGAGGCACTCGTGGAACAGGATGTTAGGCTTTGGACTGGATTCAGCTGGCTCGTTGACTTCCGGCCATAAAAGGCTACCAGTTTCTTGGACGACTCAACGACTATCAGCTTTAAAACAAGGACTTTGCTACTCGGGTTTGTTTGTTTGTCCTGATCTAATGTAACCTCGAATACATTTTTCGTCCCACTTTCGATGATCTTTTACCAAAAAAACTGTAGCTTGCAAACAGGGGAATTCGCTCTCAAGACGGAAAGAATTTTACAGCATTTCTCTTGAAAGAAAATACGCGCGAAAATTTTCGGTCTGTGACTGGGAAGAAATCGCAGATTTCTTTCGGGCGATTGCTGTAATTACCGCGGTGACGGGCGTCCTTGTGGGCTCCTGCCAGATGCTGTGTCTGGCGCGTCAGAATATCTCTGCGCACGTCCTGGAGAAAATGCAGTGATGACGCTCGCCGATTTGTTGATCTGACGTAATTATTGTATCAGAAGAATTCCCCGGACGACTTAGTTCCCAGTGCAAGAACAATGTGAATACGTAGAGCCGCTTGCAGAGTTGTTGACGGCCACTCACTTGTTTGCCCATCGAAGGCAAACAAACAAACAAACAGAGACCTACGTAAATAAACAGGCAAAAGTCTCGTTGTCCCTCTCTCCACGCACGACTCTGCGTCTAGTCGATGTCGTGGCTTGTTAAACGACGCTGTCTCAACTACAGTCGAGACAGTGATACTGTGCGACTGTGCTTCTAAGTCAGCGCCACGAGAAAATGTCCAGCTTCCGGCTCCGGCCGCCTTACCCCGATATCTATTACTACATGAGCCTCCTGACGGAGAATCAAACCCGCTACGCGCCATATAGGCGCTTGGGGGGAGAGGCCGTATAGCTCCTACTCGTTCTTAACCTCGGCACTAGATGGGGTGAGTGGTCAGCGTCACGCCCCGGAGAAAAGACGCCGAGGAGGACAGAAGGCTGGGTGGGCCTCAGAGCTGGTCTGGACGCAGAGGCTAGAGGAAAAATCCTGTGCCCCCGTCGGGGATCGAACTCCGGTCGTCGAGTCCGCAGCCGGTCATTATATTGACTGAGCTACCGCGGTAAGGACTGAGTCAGGGTTCGAACCATAACTCGAGAGCCGTTCGAATTTTGTCGACTTTCGTACCGAAGGTTAGAGTTTATGAACCACCTCGGTAATTAGCGTTCACGAATTGAAAATCAAAAGCAATGCATGCGTCTCCTAACTTGTTTGGCGTGTTCAGTGATGATAAATTGGCGGTTCGCGCTTGCGTTCTACCGTTTTGGTGGAGAGACAGGAGAATTCGAGCCCCGGGCCCCCAGATAGGATGTGGGTCTCGTGACGGCTGCAGCTTGATTGAAAGATTGTGTGGCCAATTGGTCGGCCGGACGGCCGGTGGCCTGACTCGGACAGAGTGCGTGTGAATGAGTGGCCGGCACGTCGTGATCGACCTCACCACCTGGTCCATGTTGATCAAGGAGACGTCACTAGACAGGTTAGTCGTTAGTTAACTCGTGTCGATGTTTGTGAGCGCCTGAAGCCAGTGTTTTGTTGTCGTCGTAGGTCCCAGGGCACAGAACGGCGACCGAAACTTGTAATGTAATTGAAAGAGCTCTTCAAGATGCGGCAGTGAGATGAACGCGAGTTTTTAGGTCGACCCGTCGTTGTAAAGATGGCGTGGCAAAGCCCAGAAACGTCGATTCGGTGAACTTTTGATGTCGTTCGTGTAATCGACTTACCTTGACGAATTTTGGAATGGGGAGTGTTTTTCAATTTAACCTAAAAGAACATCGCATTTTTTTCTATTGGCTTCTGTCTTGAACGAATGTGTGGAAACTTAGCGCCACATAAAGCGAACAGACATGACAGCGACGGTCGTTTGAATCTGAACGCACCCTGCGTCCGATGAAGCGTGCCAACTTAACAGAAAAATCAACGTGACATCGACTGTCTTTTGTCTTTTTCTTTTCGACTGCGTACAGTGCGCATGCGTGTTTAAAAGTGCTGAGACGTTTAAGTGATGCAGTGCGTCGGATGAGGGAAATTGGCAAGTGGAGCGCCAATTAGTTGGCAGCTAAACACGGCGGTCCGCGACCAATTCAGCCTCCCCACTCACGAGGCATGACTCCACGTCTATTTCAGTTTTCTGATTGATTGTGTGGGAACATTCTGTCAGAATGAAAGTCGACGTTTGCTAGCGACTACAAAGTCTGAATTTGTGGCTGTTTCTAGTACCGGCAGAAACAGTGAACGAAGTCGCAAGATATCTCCGAGCTTCGTTTCCAGTCGCAAATTCACGTTGGAGGCCGGCAAGCCGAGGTACAAAGATGGAGGGCATCCCCGCTTGCCCCTTGTACCTTCCCCCCCCCCCCTGAAATTTTTCGTCATGCTGAAGGAAACTGCTTTCAAGGGATGTCATTTCCCATCCATACCAGTGCTTTTAGTTTTCAACTAACCAACCAGATGGCTTAGGGAACCTGAAGGTTCATCACCGAACCAACCAAAGCCCTCCACCGGACCCTGTCCTGGGCCAACAAAATCCAGTCTCCTTCAACTCCTATCTCCCATAGATCCCGCCTGAGATTATCCTCCCATCTACGTCTAGGTCTCCCCAGCGGTCTCTTCCCCTCAGGCTTCCCAAATAGTGGACCCAACCAACCAGATGGCTTACGGAACCCGAAGGTTCATCACCGAATTAACCAAAGCCCTCCACCGGACCCTGTCCTGGGCCAACAAAATCCAGTCTCCTTCAACCCCTATCTCCCACAGATCCCGCCTGAGATTATCCTCCCATCTACGTCAAGGTCTCCCCAGCGGTCTATTCCCCTCAGTTTTCAAGGTCATATTATTTGCACGTACTGCACATTCGGTCTTCAAGACTCTGAAAAAAAAGTGTCTGTGTTCTTGTGTGGAGCGGCAGTTAAAGATTTTCAGATCTGAATTACGATTTATAAGTCTCGATAATTTTCCGTCGCATTCTCCCACATCAGACGTACGTGCAGAAGTTTCGTTCGTTACGACAGACGAGGCCATTTAATACGCGAGTCGTAGGATTTTCAACGCGCCAAAAATCTTCCGTGCACTGACGATCGCTTTCTTATGTCCGATTTTTATCAAAATTGGAATCGAGTCCGTACATTTTTAGCAGAGGACTCCGATGTCAAAATTTCGTAAAATTCTACTCAGCAGTTAACGAGGCTATTAGATATTGTAATTTTTAATATATATTTTAAGTTAACGAGGCGTTACTCTTGGCGACAGATGGACCAGCAGGCGAAGCTATTAGACGGATTTTCGCCTTCCGTTGACAGTTAAACGCCATTGATTCATTGAAATGGCTGCGGGAGAAATTACGTGCGTTCAGCGTTTGGTCGTTTCTTCAAATTGCGAAACGGTCGTGTCCCACGTGGATAGTTTTCGACCAGATTTCGCACAAAAAAAATCTGCCCGGGGGTCCTGTCGAGCTGAAGTACGTCGAGACAGAGATGGAGCCGGTCACTTGAAACCGTATCACGTGATCGGCCAGCCTGACCCCTCAACGTCAAGCGATTGACTCTTTCCGCCGGCTGATACGTGACGGGATGTGGCTCTGGACTGCAAAGAACGCCTCGACGTGTTCTTGCCTCTTGCCAACAGTGATTTTCTGTTGTCTCTTTGGAGAGCACCGACTAGCATTTCGATTACGAGGGACAGGTGTTCATGGCCGTTCGAAATTTCTCGTATTCCGCAAGGTTTCTCAGTCAAAATTACGATAAAATCTCCTCAAACTTCTTTGGACAAAAAAACAGGCACGGCTCATAGAATTACTTTGATGATTTGGGACC